CCATCTCTACTAAAAATACAAAAAATTAGCCGGGTGTGGTGGTGGGCACCTCTCATCCCAGCTACTTGGGAGGCTGAGGCACGACAGTTGCTTGAACCCAGGAGGTGGAGGTTGCAGTGAGCTGAGATTGCACCACTGCACTCCTGCCTGGGCAACAGAATGAGACTCTGTCTCAAACAAACAAACAAACAAACAAAAAAACACAAAGCAACATAACCAGTCTATCCTGACTGATAAGAGAAATTGGGAAAACTGTCAATTATGCCTCCTGTACTGTTTTTAGCTTTGAAATGTCTCCATGCCCACAAAGCTACCCTTAATCTTCCTACTATGTTACCATATCATATGATCAGTGGGACCACGTTTCTGATTCCAGTCTTATTATTCTCCCCAAACAAAACTTGAGTTTTCTCAAGCACCGATTCCATCAAGGTCATAAGCCCTCAATGGCTTCCTATTCACCCTTGGGAATGGTCCAAATGTTTTGTTTTGTTTTTTTTTTCAGGTAGAGTCTCGCTGTCTCTCAGGCTGGAGTGCGGTGGCACAATCTCGGCTCACTGCAAGCTCCGCCTCCCAGGTTCATGCCATTCTCCTGCCTCAGCCTCCAGAGCAGCTGGGACTACAGGGGCCCGCCACTACACCTGGCTAATTTTTTTTGGTGTTTTTAGTAGAGATGGGGTTTCACCGTGTTAGTCAGGATGGTCTCGATCTCCTGACCTCGTGATCCGCCTGCCTCGGCCTCCCAAAGTGCTGGGATTACAGGCGTGAGCCACAGCGCCCGGCCCCAAATGTTTTAAAACACAGTTGGAAAGGCCAGTCCAGCACTGCTGGTGACTCTTACCCTGCCCTCTGCTGGGTGGAATCTGTCCTTCTGGATTCATCTCATTGCTGCAGCCATCTTTTTTCTGTTCGTCATACTCAGCTGCTTTTAGCTTCTCAAAACTTGCCAAGCTATTGGCTAGCTACCTGCAATACCTTCTCTAGCTAGTGTAAGGTCTGCCATCCTTCAGATCTTAGCTCAAACATCTCTCTTTATTTTTTGAGACAGAGTCTCGCTCTTTCGCCCAGGCTGGAGTGCAGTGGTGCGATCTCGGCTCACTGCAAGCTTTGCCTCCTAGGTTCATGCCATTCTCCTGCCTCAGCCTCTGGAGTAACTGGGATTACAGGCACCCGCCACCACGCCCGGCTAATTTTTTGTATTTTTTAGTAGAGACGGGGTTTCACCGTGTTAGCCAGGATGGTCTCGATCTCCTGACCTTGTGATCCGCACGCCTCAGCCTCCCAAAGTGCTGGAATTACAGGTGTGAACCACCGCACCCACCCTCAAACGTCTCTTTAGGGAAGCTTTTATTCACCACCCAGACTAGATGTACTATAAGAGCCAGTACTTCTGATGTAACTTAAACGGTGTTACTGCCTTTGGTCAGCTGTTGAGCTAGACTGTACATTGTGAGCAGGGGACATGTTTACTTTGGACACTGGATATTCCCCCCCCAAACGATAACCATACTTTTAGTCTAAAAAAGAGCCTAAACATTTTCCATTTTTATAGGTAAGATCTTGCTCTGATGGCCCAGGATGGAGTCCAGTAGCTCACTGAAACCTCAAAATCCTTGGCGCCAAACGATCCTCCCACTCCAGCCAGAGGTGTGCACCACCATGCCTGGCTAATTAAAAAAATATTTTTGTGCAGATTAAGGTCTCGCTATGTTGCCCAGGCTGGTCTTGAGCTCCTGGTCTCAAGGAATCCTCCTGCCTCAGCCCCCAAAGTGCTGGGATTAAAGATATGAGCTACCGTGCCTGGCCTTTTATTTTTGTCTACTCACATTTTCGAAATCTGAATGAAGCCAATAACGACCTTAATTCTAAGTTGCTTAAATTTTCTAACCAAAAGCTGAGAGTTGACTAAAACAGTGACTTATGTTTTAGAATATTCTATATTTAAACAAACTAAACTGCCATTTCCATCCATGATTTCACCCTGTGACTATCATTTTTTAGCTATGGAACATTTTTGAAATGCCATATATGAATATATGATGGTGATGCAAGAAAACGGATTGATGCTATCTAGGGGGAATTATGCGTTCAAATCTGTAAGACTGAAATCTTACCTTTAAAGAATGTTTAGGAGATTAAAACACCAAACATATCTTATACTCAGTTACATATATTTGGTAGTATTGTGTCCGGAATTGGTGGGTTCTTGGTCTCGCTGACTTCAAGAATGAAGCCACGGACCCTAGTGGTGAGTGTTACAGTTCTTAAAGATGGTGTATCCGGAGTTTGTTCCTTCAGATGTTCAGATGTGTCCGCAGTTTCTTCCTTCTGGTAGGTTTGTGGTCTCGCTGACTTCAGGAGTTGAAGCTGCAGACCTTCAAGGTGAGTGTTATGGCTCTTAAAGGCAGCGCATCTGGAGTTGTTCATTCTTCCTGGTGGGTTTATGGTCTGGCTAACTTCAGGAGTGAAGCTGCAGACTTTCCCGGTGTTACAGCCCATAAAGGCAGCATAGACCCAAAGAGTGAACAGCTGCAAAACTTACTGTAAAGAGCAAAGAACAAATCCTCTACCATGTGGAAGGAGACCTGAGCAGGTTGCGACGGGCTAGCTGGCGAAGCCTGCTTTTATTCCCTTATCTGACCACTGCCCACATCCTGCTGATTGGTCCATTTTGACAGAGTGCTGATTAGTGCGTTTACAATCCCTGAGCTAGACACAGAGTGCTGATTGGTAAGTTTACAATCTTTTAGCTAGACCGACAGCTAGGCAGAAAAGTTCTCAAGTCCCCACTAGGTTAGCTAGATACGGAGTACTTGATTGGTGTATTTACAAACCTTGAGCTAGACAGAGTGCTGATTTTTGCGTTTATGATCCCTTAGCTAGACATAAAAGTTCTCCAAGTCCCCACTAGACTCGGGCTCAGCTGACTTCACCTAGCAGACTGCCCGCCAGTCCCGAGCCAGGCCTGCACTCCTCAGCCCTTGGGCGGTTGATGGGACCGGGCGCCACGGAGCAGGGGGCGGCGCCCATCGGAGACACTGGGGCGCGCGGGAGCCCGCCGCGGAGGGGAGGGCTCGGACATGACGGGCTGCAGGTCTCGAGCCCTGCCCTGCGGGGAGGCGGCTGAAGCCCGGCGAGAATTCGAGCACGGTGCATGCGGGGGCCGGCAGTGCTGGGGGACCCGGCACAAACTCTGCAGCTGCTGACCCGGGTGCTAAGTCCCTCACTGCCCTGGGCCGGCGACGCCGGCTGGCACCTCCGAGTGCGGGGCCCGCCGAGCCCGCGCCCGCCAGAACTCACGCTGACCTGTGAGCGCCGCGCGCAGCCCCGGTTCCCGCCCGCGCCTCTCCCTCCACACCTCCCCGCAAGCAGAGGGAGCAGGCTCCAGCCTCGGCCAGCCCGGAGGCTTCCACAGTGCCGTGGCGGGCTGAAGGGCTCCTCAAGCGCCGCCAGAGTGGACGCTGAGGCCGAGGAGGCGCTGAGAGTGAGAGCTGCTAGCACATTGTCACCCCTCAATATCACTGCAGTGGTTTAGAAAGATGTCCAAAAACGCTTTGACATCCCCGCCTTCAACAGATGAAGCTTAATATTCCTCCCACTGAGTGGGCCAGATCCAGCAACTAGATTCTAACATACAATATGGCAGCCCAAGATTCAGTTATAAGACTGTGCTTTTGGCTGGGCATGGTGGCTCACGCCTGTAATCTCAGCACTTTGGGATGCCAAGGTGGGCATATCACTTGAGGTCAGGAGTTTGAGACCAGCCTGGCCAACATGGTGAAACCCCGTCTCTGAAAAATACGAAAATTAGCCGGGCATGTTGATGGGCACCTGTAATCCCAGCTACTCGGGAGGCTGAGGCAGGAGAATCGCTTGAACCCGGGAGGCAGAGGTTGCAGTGAACTGAGATCGCGTCACTGCACTCCCGTCTGGGCAACAGAGCAAGACTCCATCTCAAAAATTGCTTTCAACTTGGGTGTGTACTCTCTTGGATCACTTGCCTTGGGGGAAACCAGCTACCCTGCTGTGCACTGTCCTATGGAAAGACCCAAGTGGGCATGAAATGGAAGAAGGTCTCTGTCCAACACCTAGCAAGGAACATCTGCCTTTCATCTAGCAGGCTGCAAAGAACCGAGGCCAATTACCACATTAGTGGATTTGAAAGGGGATCTTTCATCCAGCCAATCCTTGAGATGACTGTAGCCCAGGATGACTCTAACCTTGTGAGGAACTCTGAACCAGAACCATTGATCTTAGCTACGTCCAGATTTGTGACTCACCTGTGGGATAATACGTATTCACAGTTTTAAGCTGCTAAGTTCTGGGGTAATGTCTTATGGATAATACAATGGCTTATAGCTTGAAAAGCTCCCTATTGCCAAATAAGGCATAAATCAAGGAAGATATTTTTCACCAAGCAGCCCCAAGATAGCATATTCAATTATGTTTTTAGAAGTGATATACTTACTAAAACCACGCTGTTACTGCTCAATTTTTTGAAATTAAGGGCATGAATCCTCTTTGGAATTTCCCTTGATGGCGTCAATTCAGAATTTAAAGGCATTTTTGTCATTTGCAGTAAGTCTGGTGGTTAATGAGTAAATCTGTTTATTACGGGTCAATCTTAAGGTATACTTCCAAAGAAAAGGGCTTTTCTGTTGTAGGAAAATGCCATGAGTCTTAAGAATGTTTGATATAACACCAGCACAATCAAAATGGCTGTACATTTCCAAAACAACTAGCTTGAAAGATACAACTAATTTGGATATGTAATTTAAAATTCTTCCTCCCAACTATCACTATTATGGTCGTATCTCACAGGATGGGTAAATCATGCCAGATTTTTTGAAAACCATAATAGACACTGGGGGATTTGTATACCTTGTGACATCTATATTTAAAGTAGTCTTCTTTGGAATCAACAGAAATTACCACTAGATGCCACTGTTGTTGCTTTCTTAGAAATCACTGGGTTAGGTCAGTAAAGAGCCAAGACCCTGTTTTTACTACACAGAAGTTTATTGTGAAAGTAAATTAAACAAACACACAGTATGGCTAATGGAGGCAAAAGCAATCTGGTAGCTTAAGGCAAGTTTTAATGGAGATGAATTTAGAAAAGATGATGCAATGATGTAATTTTGTTTAAATACAGATTATGAAAAAATATCAAACTGCATCAATAACTTAATAGAAGTAGTTTTCAAAGCCTGTACTACTGGAGAAAAAGGGCTCATGATCTTAATGCCAGCATTAAGACAGACAGAAGCAGCACAGTGCTAAATGACAGGAAAATCCAGTATTTACAGAAGGATGGTAATAGGAACATTTAATAGCATTTGATCTTATTTACTGGTGGACTGAAAGCCCTTAGCTAGACAACAGAGGAAAATGTACCATCATCATGTTATTTAAAAAAATTTAACTGCAGAAATAAAAAACCAAGGAGCTCTGTAATAAAGTAACATAAAACACCACTGTAAGGATCACTTAAAAAGCAATTCCCTCAGGGCAAATTAGGGCACTGAGTGTGTAAACATGTGAGCTGTACACCACCAAAACCAACCAAATTCATTCATAGTACTTATAGTTATGCAAGATCAACATGGCCTTTAATGATGCATTATTGTTTATAAGAATTTAAACACACTTCTTACCATGCATGACTTCAAATATATAACAAATATTTTTATTCTGATACAGGATATCTGTTTATGAAATAAGACCTATATACAATGAAAGTAACACCTCCCTCATCAATCAAGTACAGTTATATGCTTTTTAAATGCAATGACCTTATTCAGACTTCAGTTCATTTTCTGAATTGACTGTGTCAGTTTTTCACCCTTTAAAATAATGCCATTTTATGATAAAATACATTTTTCAAAAATTCAGAAATGTAGTAACATTTAATAAATGTGACCATGAAAAATATTTGTAAGGAAGTGCCAAATGACTTAGCACTTTTTTCCAGTCTGTATCTAAAAAAAAAAGTTGCACTCAGTTTGACAGTAAGCCTATTTAAAAAATATTCTTACATTAATTTATCTTGAAAGGTTCTATTAATAGTCCTTTTGCAAAATACCATATACATAACTGTGAATGTTTTTTCCAGAATTAATGGAAGAAAATGTATCCTCTGCACAGATGAACATTTTCTCTCTAAAACTAATCTTTCATCATCACCCCGCATGTTTTTACAAAAGCATGCAATATAAAATACACATAAAAGCAGCTATCTTAAACATGATTTTAATATAGTATTACCTTTGTAGCTGATTCATCACTGTCTCCAGTTTAATATGCTGTTACATACATGAAGAAGCTCCAGTATCCCTTTTCTGATTGACTTTTTAAAAAAATCCCTGAATAAAACAGAAGCCAGCCTGTGACTTCTTTAGGCATTTCAGTAGAAGATCATCTATGGAGAATATCTCCAACCAAACTCATGATTACAGAACAGAAGCTAAAACAATCTGGGGCAGAGTACAGAGTTAATACCAATTTAAAACTTCTATGTTTAAAAATAAAGAGCCTGTACTCTGGGAGGCTGACGCAGGAGGATCGCTTGATGCCAGGAGTTCGAGACCTGGGCAACACTGTGAGACCCTGTTTCTATTAAAAAAAGAAAGAAAGAAAGAAAGAGTGCTGATTACTAGCATTTAAAAGGATACTGAAACTTTAATAACTGTAAACTTTGTCAGAAGGCTGTGGCAGACAGCTCTATGCTACTAGGTTTTTAGCCTGTAAATAATGCAAACATCAGCAGTTTTAAAATGCTATAGACTATAAAAACACAAAAGGAAATGGGGCAAACAAAACAAAAAACAAGAATGCTTATCTAAAATGAAGCTGTATAACCAAAACATCTAGAAGTACAAAAAAAAAATTAGAAAAAATGATTAGAGAAAACCCTCTGATATAATTTTAGTTTCTTGAACTGTTTTTAAATGACATGAACTTTTAAATTAAAGTGGAAGTAAAGGAGCTTTACAAGTAGATAGTTTTAACTCCCTAAAATAATGCCAACAAGGTAAGCTTGCATAGAAAAAAAACTTCAAATTATTACTGGCTACATGCTTAAAAAATCAGAAATGCAGGTATAATCATAGTGCAAAACCATGGCAGTTTGTGATGTCTATTACTGCCTAAGGTTGAGAAACAGACCGCAGTACCTCCAGTTATCACAGTTTCTGGTCTTTTAATCAATTATTTCTGCCAACTAGAAGCAATGTCTATGTAAAGATGGGTGGCACACATCTGCTGTGCTATTAATTAACGAAGTTTGAGGTCATCACCACCACCTAAATTGGAACCAGGACTAGGGTCTTGTTGTCTTCTTGCCTGCAATGACAAAATCATAATTTGGGGTCAAAAAGTGTTTCGACAATCAAAATGCTAGATATATAAAATACAAGACAGTAGCACATAGAAAAACTTCATAACTAAAAAGTTTTCAACCAATATATTCACATGTAACAGGCAAAAAACAAAACAAAACAAAAAAACAATTAAAATAGTCTGACATATTTTACTAAAGTTTCCTTAACAATCAAGAATAAAAATCATTTTTATTCAAAAGACAATCACCATAAATATGTACTGCATATAAAAGAAGAACGAATCTAGCGCTGGGCTCAGTGGCTCACGCCTGTAATCCCAGGACTTTGGGAGGCTGAGGTGGGCAGATCATTTGAGGTCAGGAGTTTGAGACCAGCCTGGCCAAAATAGTGAAACCCTGTCTCTATGAAAAATACAAAAAAATTAGCCGGACATGGTGGCAGGCACCTGTAATCCCAGCTGCTTGGGAGGTTGAGGCACGAGAATCCCTTGAATCTGGGAGGTGGAGGTTGCCGTGAGCTGAGATCACACCACTGCACTCCAGCCTGGATGACACGAGTGAGGTTCCATCTCAAAAAAACAAAAAACAAAAAACAAAAAACACCAACAACAAATCTATATTTGCAGTTTTGGAAAAAAGAGTATTTAACACATTAGCCAAGTGCCTTAGAAGCAAACTCTTCCTTTTAGTAACAGCTGACATTTATTGAGTATCAGCTGTCTGCAGGCACTGTTCTAAGTACTTTCCATGAATTAAATAATTTTTTAGAGAGATGAGGTCTTGCTATGTTGCCCGGGCTGGACTACAGTGGCTATTCACAGGTAAGAACATAGCAAATTACAGCCTCAAACTCCTGGGCTCAACCAATCTTCCTGTCTCACTCAGCCTCCCAAGTAACTAGAACTATAGGCACATGCCATAGGATGTGGCTAGAACTAATTTAATCCCTCCCAACAACCTATGACATAAGTGCTATTATTTATCTCTATTTACAAATAAAAAAACTAAGTCACAGAGAAATATATGTTCCACTAATTATATGACTGAAAACTGTAGCACTTTATTATGGATAAGGTATTGTCTCGTATGTTAAAAATAGAAATATAAAATTAGAGTCCTTGGTGCACTTATATTCCCAGATTTTTTTTTGAGACGGAGTTTTACTCTTGTTGCCTGGGCTGGAGTGCAATGGCGCAATCTCCACTCACTGCAACCTCGCCTCCCCGGTTCCAGCGATTCTCCTGCCTCAGCCTCCTCAGTAGCTGCGATTAAAGGCATGCGCCACCACGCCCGGCTAATTTTGTAGTTTACTATTAGTAGAGACGGGGTTTCTCCATGTTGGTCAGGCTGGTCTCGAACTCCCCACCTCAGGTGATCTGCCTGCCTTGGCCTCCCAAAGTGCTGGGATTACAGGCGTGAGCCACCGCGCCTGGCCCCAGATGTATTTTTTGTTTGTTTGTTGTTTTTTTGAGACAGGGTCTCACTCTATTGCCCAGGCTGGAGTGCAATGGCACAATCTCTGCTGACTGCAACTTCTGCCTCCCGGGCTCAAGCAATCCTCCCACCTCAGCCTCCTGAGTAGCTGGGACCACAGGCACACGCCACCACACCTGGCTAAATTTTGTATTCTTTGTAGAGACAGGGTTTCACCATGTAGACGGGGCTGGTCTTGAACTCCTGGGCTCAAGCCATCTGCCTGTCTTGGCCTCCCAAAGTGCTGGAATTACAGGTGTGAGTCACCATGTACCACCCAGATTTTTTTTTTTTTTTTTTTGAGACGGAGTCTCGCTCTGTCGCCCAGGCTGGAGTGCAGTGGTGCCATCTTGGTTCACTGCAAGCTCCGCCTCCTGGGTTCACACCATTCTCCTGCCTCAGCTGCCCGAGTAGCTGGGACTACAGGCGCCTACCACCACACCCGGCTAATTTTTTATATTTTTAGTAGAGACGGGATTTCACCATGTTAGCCAGGATGGTCTCGATCTCCTGACCGAGTGATCCTCCCACCTCGGCCTCCCAAAGTGCTGGGATTACAGGCGTGAGCCACCGTGCCTGGCCCAGATATATTGTTATAACAATATTTAACAATTAAGAAGCTTCACTAGGTCTATGAAATAAAAATTAGGAAAAAAAAAATCACTCCCTGTTGATCACACACCTCTGTTTTATAAAAAAAGAGGCTTGACAATTATAAACACCGAGATTTCAAGATTCACTTTAGAGTAAACATTCCTATTTAAACCACTTAGGTAAATTACTTAATAGGGAGACTATATATATATACATAGTCTCCTTCTCAAGTACTAATATGTGGTTATTCTGTAAGTTTTCTTTACTGCCTCCAAATGTTGGCCAAGCACAAACATCTGTTTGTATCCAGAATCTGTACTAAGTACTTTCCATGAAAGTGGAAATATTATTATTATTATTTTGAGACAGAGTCTTCTCTGTTCCCCAGGCTGGAGTGCAGTAGTGCAATCTCAGCTCACTGCAACCTCCGCCTCCCAGGTTCAAGTCATTCTCCTGCCCAGCCTCCAGAGTAGCTGGGATTATAGGCGTGCACCACTACACCTGGCTAATTTTTAAAATATTTTTAGTAGAGATGGGGTTTTGCCATGTTGGCCAGGCTGGTCTCGAACTCCTGGGCTCAAGTGATCCACCCACATCAGTCTCCCCAAAGTGCTAGGATTACAGGCATGAGCCACCATGCCCGGCTGAACTAATATTTTTTAAGAGATGACGTCAGCTGGGCACAGTGGCTCATGCCTGTAATCCCAGCACTTTGGGAGGTCAAGGTGGGCAGATCACCTGAGGTCAGGAGTTCGAGACCAGCCTGGCCAACATGGCAAAACCCCATCTCTATTAAAATACAAAAATTAGCCGGGTGTGGTCGTGGGCACCTGTAACCCCAGATACTCGGGAGGTTGAGGCAGGAGAATCGCTTGAACCTGGGAGGCGGAGGTTGTGGTGAGCCGAGATTGCGCCGTTACACTGCAGCCTGGCCAACAGAGTTGAAATTCTGTCTCAAAAAAACCCAAAAAAACAAAAACAAACAAACAAACAAAAGACAAAAAACAAAAAAAGAGATGAGGTCTTGCAGTGCTGCCCAGGCTGGAGTGCAGGGGCTATTCACAGGCACAAACACAGCACCCTACAGCCTCCAATTCCTGGGCTCAAGTCCTCCTGCCTCACCTTCCCAAGTAGCAAGAGTTTTCCTACGTTAGATAACGGCAACTCCATTTTACCAGTTGTTTGAGCAAAAAGCTTTCCTCTGTCGCCAGGCTGGAGTGCAGTGGCGCAATCTTGGCACACCGCAACCTCCGCCTCCTGGGTTTAAGCAATTCCCCTGCCTCAGCCTCCTAAGTAGCTGGAACTACAGGCATGCACCACCACGCCTGGCTAATTTTTTGTATTTTAGTAGAGATGGGGTTTCACTATGTTTGCCATGATGGTGGTCAGCCCTCCTCAGCCTCCCAAAGTGCTGGGATTACAGGCGTGAGTCACCGCGCCCAGCCTTTTTTTTTTGAGACGGAATTTCACTCTTGTTGCCCAGGCTGGAGTGCAATGGCCTGATCTCAACTCACTGTATGTAACCTCAGCCTCCCAGGTTCAAGCAATTCTCATGCCTCAGCCTCCTGAGAAGCTGGCATGTGCTACCATGCCCAACTAATTTTTTTTTTTTTAGTAGAAACAGGGTTTCACCATGTTGGCCACGCTGATTTTGAACTCCTGACCTCAGGTGATCCGCCTGCCTCGGCTTCTCAAAGTACTGGAATTTACAGGCGTGAGCCACCAAACCCGGCCTCTTTCTTAAAATTTTGATATATTTCTCTAGCATGTTTTAACTGCTTTTGTAAGCAGAATGGACAATGACTAAATTTTAGCACATTGTTTTCAATTAAATAGGTTATAGTGCATAATCACAGACCGAAAGAGTTGCGGAATACATATGCATGACAAAAGCAATTTATGTTCCATACACAATCAATGCTAAACGTAGTGTAAGGACAGATCAATTCTGCAAAATCAGAGATGGTGATATAAGCATCTGCTTTCAGTCAATGAAGGTTAGAAAGGGGCTGAGCAATGAAGAAACACTGAGAAAAAATCAATCCTAATTATATATGTACAAATCACTACTAACCTACCAACAATACTTTGTGAAAAGAGTATTTCAGCTTTTGTGTCTTGGGGCAAAAGTAATTTTCGAATTATTTTAATAATAACAGGATTACTCCAAATATATGACAAAGAACAGTCATCAGCAGCTGGAGTTTTCCCTACTCGTCACAGCTGCACAGAAATAGCCATGGATTTGTTTAAAATATTACATTTTTGATAAAAGCACAGAGAACAGGAGTAAAGTTGTTTTGCTATTATTTTTGGGTTTCGTTTCTATTTACATCGTGAAGGCACTGAGGAAGATGTAAGGAAAGACACTGTGATGAAGAGTCAAGAGTAGGAACAAAAAGGAGGGGCCCGGGGGCATGGTGCCTCATGCTAGTAAATCCCAGCACTCTGGAGGCTGAGGTGGGAGGATTGCTTGAGCCCTGGAGTTTAAGACCAGCCTGGACAACATAGTGAGATCCCCATCTCTTAAAAAAAAAAAAAAAAAGAGGGAAGAAGTCTAACAGTACAAATGAGAGAAGAGGAAAGAATGAGATATCTGGGAGGACATTTAATGCTAGAAGGGAAGATGTATTGACTGTCATATGAAGGAAACAAATACAGACACAGATTTAGGTTCCGTAAAATAGCTTCCATAGGACTAGAACTTAACAGCTGAATAAGCAGCTGCCTTAAGAAGCAGGACTTCTTACTGTGGCAGTTTTGTAATGAAGGCTGGATGTTTTTGAAGGATTTCCTCTATGGGTAAATAAACTATACTACATGATGGCAAGGAAACTCTGAACTCCATCATCCTAAAAGCATAAAGTTTGTAATTTCTAGTTTCCTTCTCCTCAGTCATAGGCCCTTGATTCTAACCTTTTAATAACAGTTATTT